TGGTTAGTCAACAGTAAGGCTAACATCAGATTTTCTAGACCAGTTGTGCTTCCTAGTAAATCGAGCAAGTCCCACCCTCAGCCAACACAACAGTTGGTGTTCCTGGCCAGGGAGTTCGAATCATCGAAATGATGTCAGCGGTTCGCAAGGTAGTTCCCCCAGGCCGTGTTACACAGTCGCCCATTACAGCACACGTTTGTTGCAACACCGAGCTCTCTTATGGGGACTGGAGAGCCGAGTAACACTCTCAGATCAAGCGAGGGATGCCTTGCCCTGGTGGTCGGCAATTGCCAACCTCGGGCAGGGGGTCCCCTGGGAACCACTCGCCACGGCTATGACTCTGGAAACAGATGCCTCCCGGACATATTGGGGAACGCATATATGGGACGAACAAGCCCAATGGAAACTATGGCCCCTGCATTAGATTCAGGACTGCCATATCAACTGGCTGGAACTGAAAGAAGTGCGTTTAGCACTACTTCACATTCTTCCCACAGTTCGAGACCACAGAGTCTTGATTCGCATGGACAACACACCTTGGTTTGAATTATTTTTGTTAAGTGAATCCCTAAATTAGATCACAATATATGTTCAAATGATCAAGATTTTTTGAAAATTATCCAAGGGATGACTAGTTACATCCCTGTGATGAAAATGGTTTGGTTGATATCAGCATAAAAAATTAGCCGAATGAAAACAAAACGTTAATATGCTGGTAATAAATATTGGTACTACTGAAACTTCAATAAACTAAATAAATTGTGTTTCAGCATTTAATTTTACATATATTAATTACTTGTTTTTGGTAAAACTAAAAATCTCAAACTTGCTTATCTCGAATTTTATGAACATGATTTGACAGGGAACACATCAATGTAGCCTACTCGTTTGCCATAAACATACAGACACAGGTATTAAAACATAACAGAAATGCTAAAAATATTCAAGTGACTACGCCTAGTAGTCATATTGCAGGCACATGGGTAGCAATGCGAAATATACATCAACTGGATCTGCACGTTTTGACAGTCTTCACGTCAACAATACAGGTTTGACTTGTTTTCTGTAATCTAAGGCTTTGTTAAGTATGTATGTGCTTTCACTATTGGTTACCATGTCTGTATTCATTTGTTACAACCCATCAGTATCCGAATCAGTGAATTGAATTATTCGCACATAACATGGAGTCTTCTTTGTGTTACGAGAGGGATTCGTTACTGTACATAACTTACATAATGTTTCTTTAGCTCAAAATTACGAAAAGTAAGCATAGCTGGATTGATTTTTCTAAGTTCAGTGCTGGCAGTCATACATTGCATGTCTAGTAGGGTGGAACAAGTCACCTGAATATTTAGATGGGTTTGTAGTGACCTTTTGTTCATTTTCTAATCATACAATAGCAATAGTAAGTAAGACAATAATGTTTGACGCCATGGCATTTATACTGAGAGATACATCGAACTCGAAATCAACAATATTGATATGTTTCACAGTTTATGCTCAATGAAATTATATTTATGCTCACACACAAACACTGGCGTATTACAAAATTATACGTCTGTGTATATGTGTATCCATCCATTTCGCCAAATGTTTATATAAAGTAGTATTTTTAGCAACAATTCAGGACAATAACAAACATTTTTTTGTGGTTGACGGCCGGTATCTTTTTAAAAACTGGCCTTTTACTAAAATGGTTTATAATTATGTCTACCCGATCAAAACCTGAATTCCATTATCTACTTTATCGCATTTACATAAGTATGCAAAATTGCATACCTGGAAACAATAAAGTTACAGTATTTTGCCAGGGCAAATCATAATATATCTTCCATCAAAGGAGCTCACAAATTTTAAAGTTGTTTGCAAGTGGACATTAGCTTTGTGTTGATAATTTTAATCTTGAACTGAAACAGTGGCGTCCTGTTCGTGAACACATCCACTACCGGTTAGACAGTTTTTTGTTAATGGTTTGTACACTTTCCCACTAGAATGTTTGCTTTTAATAACTTGCTTTTGCTTAATGTTTGTTTGAATTATTTTTCTTAAGTGAATCCCCAAATTTGATGAAAATATATGTTCAAAATGATCAAGATTTTTTGAAAATTATCCAACGAATGTCTAGATACACCCCTGTAACGAAAATGGTTTGGTTTATATCTGCGCAAAAATTGGACCAAATGAGAAAAAAACGTTAATATGCTGGTAATAAATATTGGTATTACTGAAACGTCATAAAACTATAATCAATTGTGTTTCAGAATTTAATTTTGTTTTCGGTAAATCAAATATCAAACTTGCCTAACTCGAATTTTATGAACATATTTAACAATATTACCGACTCGTTTTGCCAGACAGAGAGATACTACAGATTAAACGAAAACGAAAATGCTAAAAATATGACACACTGTAGTTATATTGGGGTCACTTACGTAGCAATGAGAAATTAACATCAACTGGACACGCACGTTTGGATAGTCTTCACGACAAGAATACAGGTTTGACTTGTTTTATATGATCAAAGGTATTGTTAAGTATGTATATGCTTTCACTATTTGTGTCCATGTTTTGTATTCATTTAGTATACAAATCCATCAGTAGACGAACCAGTGAGTTGAATTATTTGCACATAATAGGAAGTCTGTTTTTGTGTCATGAGTGAGACACGCGACTGTACACGTACACACTATTTCTTCAGTTCAAAATCTGCTGCTTGAATTGAAACAGTGGGACCTTATTTGTGGACACATCTTTCATATAATGATCAAACACTAGCAACTATATTTCACAAAGACAGCAGGTAAAGACCATGGGCTCATATATTCTTCACTTAAGTCTGTTATTTGTCTGTCTACTTGTTTCCACATTGGACTGTGATACGGTTCTAATCCTGCAGCTTCCCAGGAGTCACTATTTTGTGCTTTATCATACACGAATCACTGTAACTGAACACATCACTCTATGTTTAAAATCCAAGACCAGGTAATCTGAGATTTTAAGCAGTTCATTTTCGTGAACTTATAAAGTAATACTTGTGTTGCACTTGCAACGTTTTCATTGGACAATGCTCTTCGTCGACCAACAATCTTCGACCTTGACATCTGACCTAATGTTGATAGTCTCAAATGCACCTTGAAACTTTCACATGCATTGTCTCAACATGCCTGTTTCTGTCCATTTAATAAAATTTACACGCCCACGCCAGTTTTCTAATTTTGACACTAAACAATGATGGCGTATTCCATATCTTTAACGATTTCACCAACCAGTAAGACAGGGAAGTGACATTGCGTTTGTTTGTAGATAGAAAAATAACTATCACATATCTGGATCTGTAAAGAGCGTGATTGGATTGCGTGACAAGTTTAACTCGCATAGATGCCGCTCAAAATTGATATAAAATATAAGTAGTATGGGAAATATATACAACATACGACGACACTGAATCTTGATAAACTATAAAACGAATTAATTATGTTTTACCCTTCACAGGAAAAAAATGAATATGCCATCGAATGCATACCGAGTTTTCTGTTGGATATTTTGATGCTTTATACTTTGTCTCGTATTTATTTATTTATTTATTTATTTATTTATTTATTTATTTATTTATTTATTTATTTATTTATTTATTTATTTATTTATTTATTTATTTATTTATTTATTTATTTATTTATTTATTTATTTATTTATTTATTTATTTATTTATTTATTTATTTATTTATTTATTTATTTATTTATTTATTTATTTATAGGAACTATGTTTGTATCACTTTCATTTTGGGCTCTGATCACCATGATACTCACATCTAATGCACAACACCACCCTGGAAACCCTGCTAATGGCACTTGCATTGATTGTCATGATGCTATGTACGAAAATGGAGTATGGCACGATATATGCACTGAGGATTTCACCTGCCCAATTCACATAGCAGACATTGAAAATCTAATTAAGGGGAAAACAGTTAGGTTTCACGAAACATATTATTTTGGAAATGCAGCATTTATACCTGGTACACGTCACTATGAGTTTGACGCAATACTCGCATCACAAATAGGATCCATTGAAAAGGGTGACATAGTATGTTATTTTGTTTCAACTATCCATTTTATTTCATTGCGCAATCACAGATATAATTTTTCTAATTCAAGTTAAACATTACTTATGTTTATATACAACAAACGAGTTGTGAGTTTAGTGAAATATTACTGTAAATAATCATATTTTTATATCAAATATAATTGTTTGTGTGCAATAGAAATTTAGCGATTTCTTATTGTGTGATAATGTAATGATTCCCACTTAGGACTTTTCCGGGTTCTGTTTGGACAAGTTGGGTTCTAAACCAGATCTCATGGCATTTGTTGAGCGTTTTAAATAATGTCATAACTAACGAGGGAAATTTACTGGTAAAAAAATCATACTGCATAACAACAACATTTTCTAATACTGTGACCTAACAAAGCTGTTATTAATATTATATTACCTAAAATAACGTTGCATATATCGACGTACATTATTTTACAGGGAACTGAAGAGGTACCAACTGACAATTGTCAACTATGTGATGTATATGTAATAGAAGATGCGTGGGTTCAATGTGTTTGTAAAATTGTCGTGAGTACACTACACAAATCATAAAAGCATCAACACGATGGCAATTGAACATCGAACATGCTATGGTGGTTTGATTATTGTATCATTTATTTACTCAATTTTTTAAATATATAATTATATATTTTACAGTACAAACTAGAACTACTGAACAAGTTACTAACTGCTAAGATGGATTGTTTGAATTTGATATAATAATACTACCTACAATAAGTCATTAAGAAATTAACTGAATTGTGTGGTATGTAAGAATCATTTTTGGGAAGAACATTGTAATTGTTTGTTTGTTAATTTGTATCTACATTGGCTCCTCTGATTCCATAAATCTATGTTTCTTTTCACATACAGGATTGCCCATCAGTCATCGCCGAGCAAGTAGAGTTAAAAGGGTCACTTCCTGAAAAAGATACTACACGCGATAGAATCTGTTTGATTCGCAGAGATGATGGGTATACCATCTATACCTGCGCATATTATTCTGATGATTCTGATTTTGTTGATAATCTAATTCAAGCTAGTACATAGAAAAAATGGAATCTGTTATCTTTGTGCCAGTTATCAATAGTTATTTTAATTGGGTAGTGTTAAAAGAATTAAAATAATCTCGAAGTTGTTCCACCTGACTGACCGACATTACAAGTCCCCACGCCGTACACTTCGGCATACTGAATATGTTAGATGATAATTATCGGTATCTGTATAGTGATTAGGCAAGTGGAAAATACCGATTCTCCAATATTATATATGAAATCGTGATTATTGATCAGAACTTTGAAATCTATTGGCAATAAAGTGTTTTTATAGTCCTAGATCACATTTATGGTGATTAATCTAGATTTACATGCACACCACCATTTGTTGATGGAAACTTCTATAATAGCATGCACGTAAATAATCAGATTAGCCTGTAAAGTAAATGTAATAGGGAGCTAACTGTGCAATAAATGGTGTTATTATGACATTATACCTTATCTGTAGTAGTTATTAATTCTGACGTGAATTTAGATATAAGTACAACTATTCACGATCTAGATGATAGTGTCATACACTGTCCAAATGTTGCAAAATTATAAATATACCAACCGCATGTGCATACAAGGGTAGTGGTTTACAGAAATAAACATGTAGTCTCAATATGATGTGATGTGACAAATGTGTGATTTGCATTACTTACATAGACACGGGTCTAGTGGTTTACAATTTATATGTGAATACAATTAAAATGGAAATCATATAATAGTTTAAGTATTATTTAGAATAGGATTATTATCTACTATGTAACATATAGCTCAGGTTATTATAACTACGACGCAATAACAATTCATACCAAAACAATTGATAACATCATTAGTGCTCTGACAATGCTGTTGCGTATTTTCAATATATCCAAGGCAATGTAATGCAAATAACTGAAGCACAAACTGTTCAACATAGTTATCAGGAAACCCACCGTGATAGTGTCATTGAGATGCTTTAGATGTTGTAAGATTGTACCGACTGATTAAGTACTGTGTTTCAAAATATTATTAAATAATAAACACAAAACAAATTATCCTGTAGTGTTACCTTATGAAGTGTTGTGTTGTATTTTTAGACTATGGTGAGTCTATATAAGACTTGCTACAAACCACCTAGTATTATAGCGTCCTCACAGTTTAATAAAAGTTCAACACATTTCGCATTTCAGCATCTAGAGTCCGCATTGTTCCAAAACTCAACTCGTGGTTGCTTGCTAACCATACTGTAAAATGTTTGAAAAAATAAAAAGTTTAAAACAACAAAACTAATTATGAGATAAGGATAGACTTTTCCTTTCTCGATATACTAAGTCTGGAGGCTTATTCTGCTCCACCACAATGACTTAAGTACTTCCTATGATGCTAATTATCTATACTATCTGACTTTATTTCATTTTTCCCATCCCAAGTATTTTGGGGGATTGCGTCGTCTAGTCGGGTATCTCCTTTCTGGTGTTGGAAGTTTATCATCAGCCATGTGCGATCGCGGTGTCCCGGGGGATAACATTGGAACAGGAGAAATTTCCTCTTCATCCTCAGAGTTGGCAGTATCTCGATCGCTGACGCGGTGATCAATTCCAACTTCAGGTATTAATTTGAAGAATGACGAATTGTGCATAATAATGTGTGCACCGCGTTTAGCTGTTATCAAACTTTCTTTCTGTACTGTGACCTACTATGGCTTGGCGAGAAACGGCGTTTCCAGTTTTCCTCTCTTTGTGTTTTAACGCGAACGGAATCACCGACTCTTATTTCCAACGTTTTCGCATTTCGACTCCTATCTGCGTATTTCTTCATCTTTTGTTTTGAAACTTTATCCCGAAGTTGTATTTTTCGCCGCTTCTTAGAAGTATTCAATGTCGGCAATTTTATGTTTATTGGATATTGAAATACCTCTGTAGCTGGGCATACACCAGTAGTGCTGTGTGGTGTCGCACGATAATTTCTCAGAAATGTGTACATTTCGTGTTTCCACGACTTCCCTTCAACTTGCGCTGTGCGGATGGCTTTTCCTAGCGTTCTCATCATTCGTTCCGCCTCACCGTTTGCCTGTGGCCATAGGGGAGTAACCTTACAGTGTTTAAAACCAAGATGTTTTTCAAAGTCTCTAAAATCTTGGCCCTGGAACGGCGTCAATTGTCTGATGTTGCGACTTCTGGAATACCGTATTCCGAGAATACTTTGTCGAGTATCGGAATTACGATTCACGATGAAGTAGATCGTATTATTTCAACAACAACAAATCTGGAATAGTTATCTGTTATCACGAGCAAATAATCTCCACTGGAGAACGGCTCACAGAAGTCCATCGACACGTGTTGCCATGCGTAGTCGGGAAGTGACATCATTTGTAATGGTTCGCGTCTATTCTGTGGTGTGGCGGCTTGACAGGCTAAGCAGGTTTTGATTTTATTTTTCACCAGCTTGTCAATGTTGGGAAAATAAAGTTTTTCTCTCAGTAATTTTGACTACACCCTGGAGTCCTTCGTGGGCGAGACTAACTGTCCGCTCTTGTAACGATTTCGGAATGATAATTCGAGATCCGCGTAAAATTAGATCTTGAGTTGACACCAGTGTTAGAGATTCTCTTTCTTTTCGCAGCATTTCGAAAGACATTCGGTCGATGTCTGTAGAATCGATGTCTGAAGAACGTGTGTTGTCGTACCATCTACCAGTTTTAATCGCCATGGTTACGGCTTGCAGTGTAGGATCAGATTTCGTTTCTTGTTTGATTTCATCCAAGGTTAGCGCCGTGGGTGCTGCATGACCAGCGATAAAGTTGATATATTCTTCAGTGAGTTTCTCTTGTCTCCTGTTTGGCGTGTTTTTCGTGTTCGGGTGTCTCGACATGTAATCAGCTGGATTGTCTTTTCCGGCCTATACACGATCTTGAATAAATAGTCTTGTAGCCGTAGAGCCCATCTCTCGATTCTGGATGGCGGTTTAGAATTTTGGTTGTTGTAGAGACGCTCTAGCGGTTTGTGATCGGTTACTATGGTTACAGGTTTGCCATATACGTATAAATAGTAATGCTCACAAGCCCATACAACAGCTAACGCCTCGCGTTCTGTCTGAGAATATCTTTGTTCGACTAGAGTAAGCGATCTGCTCGCGTAACTCAGAACTTGTGGAGCGTCTTCATCACCATTTTTCTGAGTGAGCATTGCTCCTAGACCAACAGGGCTTGCGTCTACTACGATTCATGTGTCTTTATTCGGATCAAAGTATGCCATGAATGAATTGCATGTTAATCGATCTTTGATCGTGTTGAGCGCATTACGATGAGTACTCGACCATTCCCATACCGCGTCTTTTACGGTTAATAATCGAAGGGGTTGCGTAATAGTCGCTAGGTCGGGTATAAATCGTGAGAAATATGTTACCATACCGAGTAAACTTCTCACCTCAGTTGCGTTTGTTGGGGCTTCGGCATTCTTGACAGCCGCGACTTTATCTGGGTCTGGTGACATACCTTCCACTGAAAATCGATGACTGTAAAATATGAGATTTGATTTGTTGAATTCACATTTTCGTCTGTTTAGAGTAAGTTTTCTTTCGCGTAGTCGTTGGAATACAGCTTTCAGACTGTTTTGATGGTCTTCCTGCGTTTTGCCGTGTATGAGTATATCATCGCTAATGTTCTTTGCGCCTGGTATACCCTCGATTGATTGTCTAATAGCGTTTTGGAATATTTCTGATGCCGATGATATTCCAAAATTGAGTCGCTTATAACGGCGTAGACCAACGTGTGTACTAAACGTAGTAATGTACCTCGATGCCGGTGTTAGCTCGAGTTGATGATAGCCTTGATTCAGATCAAGTTTGGAAAACACTATGGAGTTGTTCAGATCTTGAATGATTTCATCAGTCGTCGGCATGATGTGTCTCTCGCGTTTGATGGCTTCATTCGCGCGTCTCATGTCAACACATATCCGTATATCGTCTGGATTCTTTGGTTTAGGAACAACAACAATTGGCGATATCCATGGTGTTGCTTCGTCGACCTTTTCGATTATGTTGGCGGCTTCCATTTCTGCAATTTTCTTTTCGACTTTTTCGCGAATATGAAACGGAATGCGACGATGCGGTTGGGCTACAGGCTGAACAGTCTCGTCTATGTGTAGCTTTACTTGGAAATCTGTCATTTTGCCTAGGCCTGTGAATAAATCAGTATATTCGCTCACTAGCTTGCCTGTTGCAGTCTGTCTCCCGACTTGTTTAATTATTTGTATGAGTCCCAAATCTTCTGCTGTCTGAAAACTTAGTAGCGATTCCCCGAAATTACCGCTGCGCTTGACGACATGAATTAATATATTCGATAGCAATTTTCTTCCAGTATTCGTTTTACATTTGATGTCTGTCCGGAATTCGCCTAGGGTTTCGATTGGATATTGACTCTTGTATGGAAATACTTTTGTATAAGTCTGTCTCAACTTGACTTTCCCGTTAAGCTTTTCAAAGTCACTTCAT